TTAGGGAACGCATGTAGCTTTCAGCATTTAAATCGCCCCCTCCCTCCCATCCCTGTTCTTTGGTGGGACCAAGGAGTTTGGTGATAATCATGTGTGATTTAGTCCCCTTATTCTTCCTTACCCACAGACATCCAGATGTCATTGAGTACACACCCATATCTGAGGTCTGCTTTAGCTTGAACATTGTGGGGAAATGTCCCTTGAGAAAGGTGTGTTGACATCATATTGTTAGATTCAGGAAGTGTTTGTCTAGATGAAAGTAGCTGGGCTAAGGAGAACCAAATGCTCTGGGAGAGTAACAGGGATTCAGTGGCTATGGGTGGCCTGGAGCGTGGGTGGATACCGAGGTTCATCATTGCCATAGTGAGAGCACAAACATGTTCTGCTTCTTACAGGCTGACACAGCTCACACCAGGATGATGGTTTGGAAAGCAGAACAAGAACCAGACTCTACCTCTCATTGCTACAACCATACTTGAAACCAAACACAGCGGTCTAGAGTCCTTGGTGAGGTGAAGCCCAGCCAGCGGGTATCTAGCAGGCAGAGTGCACTTGTCCATATGCGCAGGAGTCTCTGCTGTGAATGGTGGCAGGACCTGAGCTTCAGCTCAGGGAATGGCAAGAATCACTAAATACTTTTTTTGTGTGTGTGCCAGGGATCGAACTTAGGACCTTATGCTTGTGAGGCAGGTGGTAGAACCACTGAGCTCAATTCCTGGCAGCTCTAGGTAAGATGAGGGAATTTGTTTTGCTATGCCTTGAGGACATAATGAGTGCTATGTATCCCATTAGGTGATGCAAATAGGGAAACGAGGGAGAAAAATTACCCATGGGCACCTCTGGGAAACCACTGTTCAGTGAGGAAGACATAAATAAATATACAAACACAAATATCACGATGAACATTTGTCTATTTATAGAGCATGTGTAATGGCTTAATATTATAAACTTGATTACATGTGTAGACAAATGTATCTATTACCTATATAGGGAGAGAGAGGGGGCAAATGGAAGGGAAAAGAGGAAAGGAGAGGAGGGAGGTAAAGAAGAGAGGGGAAGAGAAGAGGAGAGGACATTCAGGAAAGATAACTGACTTCACTTGAGTAAACTATGAAAAGATTCAAGGAGACATTCGAGCATTGCCTTCAGAGTGAGGAGGACTTCACAAGGTAGATGGTGAAAGGAAATAGAGTTTCAAGCAGAAGTAGCATTATAGGCCACATACAAATATGAAAAAAATAGTTTTATTTTAGAGAACTGGCAACAATTTTTGTAACTGTTAAAATAAGAAACACAAAATTATGCAGACTTTAACTCATGTAAGGCCTTATGTCTCAAGCTATGGAGTTTGACTTCAAAGGATTACTAGAGTGCTAACACCCATGAGAAAATGTAGGTGCTCTGTAAAATAAGGAAGTACCATAATTTGAGAATAGCAAACTATTATACAGTTAACCAGGGGTGGTGAACCTACGGCACACATGCCAGTGGGCACACAGAGCCCTCTCTGTGGCACATGAGCTAAGTCACTCCAGCAGCTGAGCATCAGACAACAGTTGTTTTTTTCTAAACAAAAGCCTCAGTCTTCAGGTGTAATTGCAGCTTTGGCATTTTGTAACAAATAAGTGGGTTTGGGGTTGCAGTTAAGGCACTCGGTCTCTAAAACATTCAGCATCGCTGCAGTTAACCCACCCAAGAGATCACAAAGCATTACAAAAACTGGTAGTGAAAAGAATAAATAAAATATGCTCTTAGATTTTGTCTCACAAATATTTGAAATTGACCACTTCCCTCACGGAATGGCGAATAACATCTTTGAGAACATATTTTGTGAATCTTGCTAAAGATACAAAAAATATAGTCCAATGCATGTCACAGAAAGCTGTGTGTGGCTGTCTGGAGAATGGATTGAAGGCAGGGGTAGGAGAGGCTGGTGATTTGGGGAACAAAATGAGGAAGGTTGGAGCTGATAAAGCAAAACAGACGAGGGCCACATTGGTGTACTGGTGAGCTCTTTAGAAAGCACGTGGTGGGGGGGGATTTAGCTCAGTGGTTCCACTGCCCGCTTTGAAAGAGCAAGGTCCAGAGTTAAATTCCCCAGTACTGGAAAAAAGAAAAAGAAAGAAAGAAAGAAAGAAAGAAAGAAAGAAAGAAGGCAGGCAGGCAGGCAAGCACATGGGTTAAGATTTAATGACCAACTGGAGGAGTGGTGGTTAAGAATGGAGAGACTTTCCTATGAGTTTGGTTTGAGTCTACAAACACCATACTTAAGTATGAACTTTCTAAAATTACTTCCTGCCTTTGCTGTGTGATATTCAGAAATCCCGTGAAGGAGAAAATTGCTCTTCCAGCTACCTAGTGACTTTATTTTTAGAAGGGACATATTATCTTTGATAGCCAGAGTTCTGGAGACAAAGTTGGACCAACTAATAAAACCATGGATTCCAGAGTAAATGGCCCTGCAGTTAGGGCAAGATACGCGAGGTGCTATCCAGGGTGCTGAACCGATGAGTCTCTCACTGAAACCGCGTCTGTTGCCCTTCTGCCTTTGACCGCGTCAAACATACCTAGCAAGAGCTCGCCCACTCAGCCTGCTGCTGCCTGCCCTTGTCAGACTAGCTGGCTGCGACTTTTGATGGAGAATGGCCCGGTCCCTCATCTGGACATCTGGCAGGTCAGCTGCAAGCTGAAAGCTGTGTCCACAGAGGTTAAAAATACCCTGACAGGTGAGTAAACATTTCTCCCAGGAATACAATCGACTGTCCAGAGGGGCAGATAATTTGTTCCTGTGGATAGTTGCTGAGCTGGAGAAATTATTTCAGCACAGCCAGGTTTTCAGGGATGGAACGCGTCACCTTTTCAGAAGGCTCCTACTGGCCCGCAGCGTATACTGAGCCCAGACCTCTGTCTCCAGGAATTCAAAATCTGGTGGGGAAAGAAAACATATTTTCAAGTACAGCGAAGTGGCCTCTATTTAGTAGAAAATAGATTAAATACATCAGAGCCCCAAAAGAGAAAGTTTTACATGGGTTGGAGGTGGTTAGGGAAATACTTATGCAGAGAGAGGGGAGAATATTGATGTGGGTGAATGGGTAGATGTTAAGGAGGAAGAAATGGTGAGCACCGAGGAAGCACGGTGGGCGTATAAGTGCCCGCGGCACATCTGGGAGATGGCAGATACCTGGCCCAGCCCAGAGCTCCCTCCCCAGCTCACATTCCCGCACAACACCACTACGCTGTACATTTCCTGTGGTGATCACATTCTTTCTCTCACACAAAAGAAAGAAGTATCTTGTCAAACAGATGGGCTCCTGAAAGACAATACTTCCATAGCCTCCTTCAAGTCCCTGTGACATTTTCTAGAGACATGCTTCTAAGCGAGGGAGGCTCCTAAGACTTTCAGTTCTCACATCATGGTGCTGACATCCTTGGCCTTGGCCAGTTTAGGGATGGTTAATAAATTACAGGCCCCAACTCAAAACAAAGCCTGTCATGGTGCAAACAAGAAGACTAAAAAGAAGCAGGAAGCACAAGCAGAGAGGAGGACTCAACTGAGGTGTGAGGTTTTATGAAGAAAACTGGCTCATCTCAAGGAGAAAGGCCTTAAGGAGCTACAAGAACCATCCACACACGAGACTTAGTTGTATTCCAGAGGGCATTCTACGGAGGCCTTTTGCAGGACATAGCTTTAGAACATGCATTCCCAACAGCACAGCTGTAGGATTTTCAGACTTCAGGTAAGAGAAACAGGCAAATGGTCAGCTAAAGCAGGAAAAATGTACAAGGACTTGTTATGATGGGGACAGCACAGCCCTCTCCCCTGGAGGATGACACTTGAGCTGGGGGAGAAGGAACAGTAAGGTCACCCTCTGTTCCTTTAGTAAGGGTATCGTGTGGATCACCCTAGTGGGGTTCTAGGCCAGTTCCCACCAGGATTTGGGTAGACAAATGTATTTCATGTTTATGAATAGTTTAAAGATATTCATCAGAATTATTCCTATTACTTATATATTTATATTATTTGTATATTCGGTGATGGCCAAATAAACTATGGAGCATTCAAAGAGCAAATGTTGGGGCCAGGGATTTAGCTCAGTGGTCCCACCGCCTCCTTCACAAGCACAAGGGCCCAAGTTGGATTCCCGGTACCCCCCCAAAACAAAAACAAACAAACAAAAAACAAAGAGCAAACTTTTAGATGTTTTATATACTCATTGTTTAAGCCAAAGACAGAATTACGTGTGAGAAGGGATTGAAAATACCTACCAGGTCTTATGAGTGTGGCCAGATGACCTCCTTAACCCCATTTTTTCAAGGGAACCCTTAATTCAGGCTAGCACAAAAGGTACGTGGAATCACACACACCTCAGTTCTACACCTACTGCCTCTGTTCCCACAATATTCATTTTTCATGGCTCCAGGTTCAGCACCCTTTAATGAGGTGCATGCTTGCACACACACACACACACACACACACACACACACACACGCACACACACACGCACACACTTTTCCTTCTCACTCCTTTCGGCTTTTTTTCCATTTGTCAATTTACAGAAACTTTCCCATTCCTCATTTCCCTTTGTGCCCCCAAATCATGCCAAGGACTGTGACTCTGTCTCCCGCACAGGGCACCAGGGAACACTGCTTTTGGGGACAATTCGGTTTCAGGGGATGAGGCTTGGAGGGGCACAGGTTAAAAATAATGGTCCAGGAAAGTTTCCAGGGTGAAGATTTAAGAATCGTTTTGGGTCTTACACTGTCTGAAAAACGTACTTTGGTGCAGTAGGATCCTTGGTGATCTTGCCAAATCCGCAAAGTGCTTCTATGCCCTCAAAAGAGGGCATAAAAGAGCATTTTGTAGGGTTTCTTAGTATCCCTGGGCAGTTAGGTCCAGAGCAGTTCTAGATATCCATCATGTCTCTCTTCCTTTTCTGGTTTTTTCTATGTAGTGAAGGATTTTTGGTGAAATGAGTAAGAGACAGATGGCAGCAGAGGAGCACACCGTGGAAATTACATGTTGTGTTTGAAGAGGTTGGGGTGTAGAAAGGAGGGCAGCTGGCGCTATGTCTTCCAGGCAGGTGTGGTGAACATCTATGAGGGCAAACCACCGTGTGCACATTACCCACTAACCCTTGAACAGCCATAAAAATAGAGTGGTGTTTTAAATACGCGCAGAAATCAAACTTTAATTTTTGATTTCACACTTGAAAAGTCTGTACAAAATAAACCCAAGGCAAATCAGGCAAATAAAAAAATGACAATGAGTTGTGGAAAAAAAAATGACAGCTTTGAAACAACGTTGAGTGTGCAACAGCCTTTACCTATGTAGGGAGAAGATTGTGTTCTAAAGTTTTGGGCTCTGGGAGATAAAACTGCAATGCTAATTATTAACATCTAGAAAAATCTGCAGCTGTCTAAGATGCGAGGTTGAACGGGAAGTCTCTGAGCCCCACTGCGCAGCTGGAGCCTGAGACTGAGTGGGCTTCCATTTTTTTTTTTTTTGAGGAAGCATGAAATTATTTTTATTTACACATGACAATGTATCAAACACCTACATTTACCATTGCCTTGGCATAATGGTTAGGACTAAAATGTTGATGAAGCCTGGTATTAATGAATAATTAGGTAATATCCAAGATCTTTCTGGTTGCTAGCTAATGTTCCAGCCCTAAGGGGTCAGCACAATTCCAAGCACCCATTTCCACCTGATTGTTTTACTATTAATTCCTAGTGGCACATGAAAGGCTTCTGAGAAGTGCTGGAATACCAAAGTAGTTACGAATCGGAGAAACATAATTTTCACCTTGCTGCTTGCCCCCAAATAAATATCTGAGTCGTGGAAAACACTATTTATTTGAAAACTATGAGACATCAAATATGAAATATAGATAACATTGACAATGACACTGTCGCGAGACCTTCTCCTAAACCACCCACGACTCTTGGATACGTGTGCATGCGGCACTGAAAACTGGTTGTTTGAGGACTCTCGATGCCCGGCAGACAGTCTGTTAAGCTGCTGTGTCTCCCACGACAGCCCTGGAGCAGACACGTGGCCCGTTCCTTGCTAGTGATCACAGACACGCAACCTGTCCTTCCAGTGGTCACGGGCACCAACTGAGACCCTGGGCTTATCAGAACCCATGTCCTGCTGAATCTCAGCTCTGGGACAAGGTAGCCTGGCTAAACAGAAGCAGACCAGCAGCCCCACACATGTTTGGTCCCATTTGATAGAAAGTCTAATTAAAAATTATAAATGTGCTCAACTATTTATATATTTATATATGTATCATTTGACAGACAATCCCTAACGTTTTCTCATTGAACCAGCCGAGAGACAGCTGTGATATAGACACATGGCTTGGGTTAAAGTCCCTCAGCTGTGTTCAAGAGCCCAGTGGTGACTGGCAAGTCCTTTCTTCTCTTTAAACCTTCATCTCCTCTTCCGAGAGTGGAGAAAATGGACCCAAAGATGACAAACGTCGTGCACTCCATTCTCCTGGGCTTGACGGTTGTTGGCCAAGCACAGCCAGTGGCTGCCAAGCAGAACCTCTCCTAAGCTGACTACTGAATGAGTCTGCTCACCCTGGCCTCCTCCAGGGTTTTAGAATCTGTAGGTTTGAAAATGTCTGGGCAGCCATCTAGTATTGTTCTGTTCTGATAAGCAGACCTCTGTCTAAGCAGTTGTAATCATTCAGCTTTCAACCTCCAAGGAAAAGCCCTGTCCTCTCCCTGTTGACTGATATTTACATCTTGACCAGGGACTCTTTCGTGTTATTGGACTGCATTTCTTAGCAGAAACAAACCCAAACAAAAATATTCATCCCTTTTCCTAGAGAACTCCAGGGAACCGTGGCTGGTCATCTTATGGCTCACTCCTTGGAATGTTGCAAAGATGCTAAGCCTCATCTCCCAGGCCTCATCTCCAGGATTCTCATTCCTGATGCTTGGACAACTTTTTCTTTTCAGCAGAAATTAGCAAGCGGTCACACAGGCCAGGCTTAGGGTTTCCCTACAGGGTCCAGTCACGTCCCCTAGTAGGACTCTCAGGCCACATGGTGAGGAAGGAAGCACGCGGATGTAAGAGGGAAGCATCTTAGGCTCTGGTCCCACCTCGTAGCCACCCCATGTGACCACATCCTCTGAGCCTCATTCTCCCACTGGTGGTCAGGGCAAGTCTCCAGCGTTGTATTCTAACCAAGCTTGGTCTACACATGGAGAAGCTACCGGGTCCTGCAGGAGCGACCATTATCAAGGCAGGTGGGCAGTGCTGACTCACAAAGGCAGAAGGGTAGAGTCACCCACTTTATTGGCTCCCAGCCTGACAGAGCTTTTCTAGATTGCCTGTTTCAATGGCCCATTTTATAGACGAAGAAGGCAAGGTATGGAGAGCCAAGTGGATCTCTCAAGATCACACTGTGAATCTAGTAGGGTAGGGACTGACTGGACACTCACATTGCAGCTTTCACACTATGCCAGCAGCAGGGTGGGGCAGCGCACAGCTGTCTTTTCACAACAGGGAACCAGGAGATGTGGGTGTTGTCCCTCTAAGTCTCTAATTTCCTGATAACTAGTGAAGCACCCTTGTCCTTTGTCCCCACAGAGGACAGTGCTGGCTGACAGGACGGGCTGGGTGCCAGCACTCGAAGGCAGCTGCTGGCAGGTCAGTGTGCTGACCTTGGGTCTCCAAGCCAAGCTCCATTTCCTCTCTTTCTGTCTCTCTCTCTCTCTCTCTCTCTCTCTCTCTCTCTCTCTTCCTCTCTCTCTCAACAATCACTGTCCTCAGTCCAGCTGCAAGAACCCATCCATCCCCAATGCTCGTTCACTAAAACACAGGCGCTTTTCCTCTTATAGAAGAAGTAAGGGGGACCTCAGAGGGACAGAAGAGACCCGAACAGGAGGGGAGATGCTGATTAATACAACAGGCACACGTGGAGAGGCCGCGCGAGCAGAGGCGCGTGCATAACATGGACCCCTCCCCCATGCATTTCCCGTTCCTTGCCTTCCTTCCTCCCTCTGTTGCGCTTCTTGTTGCTAAGCAGACGGACGCAGGAAATCAAACACTTTGTGTTTCTATGAACTATGCTCCTGAGGAGATAGTACATCTAGAATTAAAACACTACCACAAACTATTAGGGATTTCAGATTGTTACAGGAATCGCTGATGGATTCCGGGACAAGATCAGTCTCTGAATCCAGCCTCGGGAGACGGGGTTTTGTTTCAGACATCGAAGGTAAGGCTCTCGAGTCGATTTATACTCTGCTGGGCTGAGTCAGTCAGGGTACAAATTAAGGTCCATATATTTCAGGGATGAGAAGGAAACCGTTGTGTAAATACACAAGTATTAACATCAATCTGTATTAAATTATGTAAACATATACATCTTCTGAGGTCAGCACACAGATCCTCTTCTCAGAGCAGGACTCCTACTGCAGCATTGCTCGAATCTGTTTGGAAGTCGACTCATCATTCAAGTGCTTTGTAGTGAACCTGAACGGGGAGGCCGGGGGAGAGGGAGAGAGAAAGGTCAGCGTGCAAACAGCACTGCACAGAGGCATCCGATGGTCAGCACGCATCTGCACTTTGGAAAACACAATCAACACGTACACATCTAACACGTGGCCTTGCTTCGGACAAAGAGCCACCCAGGGCCTTCACACTAAGCTACATCCCCAGCTCTTTTTTATTTTTATTTTGAGATAGGGTCTCATTAAATCACTCAATTGCCCAGGTTGGACTCAAATTTGCAATCCTCCTGCCCCAGCCATCCAGACTGCTGGACTCACAGATGTGCACCACCGTAGCTCTGCACAGCTTGAGTGCAGAGTCGTATCATCGAGGCAACCCGCGCTGAGTCACAAATTTCAGTTATGTGGATTTCCTGAAATGTAAATGCTTAGGGTCCTCGGCTTGTGCAGCAATACTCATTCTCATTGCCACCACTAGGGGGCACAATGATGGCAAATCCCCCCCCCCCACAAAGGGTGCAGTCTGAAACCTCCCATTAAACTGATGTAAAAACTGTGATTTCCCCTCTCCAACCCAGAATTGGGGGAGATGGGAAGGAAGGGTCAGGAAGAGGAAGTAAAAAGGATCAAGATGTGTGATGTGGATAAGCAGTGCCCCACCATGAATGTATTTATTGTGTATGGCAAACATACATTAATAAAATTAAAAATGTCCTTTGTGCAAAGGGGAGCAAAGCTTTAAGAAATAATAAAACTGTGGCCATGTCTCGGCACCCACGGAAGTTTCCACTGCAATCATGAGAGCTGTGCAGCTGAAGGAACTGCTTTCATTTTCCAGGAGAGAAAACAGACTCAGAGAGGTCACGAGACTGCTGCAAAGCCCAAGGATGACTGTCTTGGGGACGATCTGTGACTTTTGACTTGAACCTAGGCCATCTGCCTGGATAGCTCTCCCCTTTCATGACCTGTCCAGCACCCCACACAGCACCCTGCCTTCAAGCAAGTTCTGCCTAATTGAATGAAACTGGGGAGCTTGAGAAATTCAGAAGTTAAAGTCTTCCAACTGGATGTGGCAATCCAGCCTGATGGGAAAGGGGTTTTCCCAGTGGGGAAAATCTTGGATAACTCACACAAATTGGAGTGCTCTTGGTTGGGTGTGGTGGTATACTCCCGTGATCTCAGCACTCTGGGAAGCTGAGGCAGGAAGATTCCAAGATCCAGCCCAGCCTCAATAACTTAGTGACTTAAGCATGATCCTGTCTCAAAATTTAAAAAATGAAAAAGGACTGGGGCTGTATCCTACTGCCAGGGACCCGGGTTTAACAAATGAATACTCTTCTGGCAGTATCTTTCTGCAGGATGAATGCTTAGCACCTCAGACACATAGCATCAACTGCAGTGTCCTGGTTGGTTTCTTACTTTGTTAGATGGGGATAATAGGTCAGCCCAAGTCTCTGCAGCGTGATGATTAAACGCGACAATGTGACTGGACCGGGGTGCCATTATTGTCTGCGTGGACTCCCTGAGCGCTTCCTTCATGTACAGCAGTGAGTGGGACTGAAGGACATTAAAGAATAAGACAGCTGGGTTCACGAGCCTCCCAGACTTCCAACCAGTCCTGGGATGTTGTGCACAGGAGCACGATTCCACAGATTCCTGCAGGTGCATTACAGCTCACAAATAAGATCCTTTCCTCAGGACAGGTGGAGGGCACTTTTACGTGCAAGGAAAGGAGGCGCTGCTTCCATGCTGCCCTTGATAATAAGACCTCACCAGAAAATAATTAGCCCAGAAACACTAGAGAGCACCACTCTTCTCCAGCTCAGTGTCAGCTCTGTGAGGCTGGGGAGGCAGGACAGGCTGATGGGGCTGGAGTTTTTGATCACTAGTTTTCTGGGCTGATTACTTTCTGGTGAGGTCTTATTTTCAGGGAAAGAGGGTCTGTTAGCAGTGAGGAGCTGGAAGAAGCCGCAGTGGCTGAGTACTGAGGCAGTAGGGGTGTGCAGCAGGCTTCTCCCTTCTGGCAGCTACACACGAGAACCGCCGGGGGAGCTGGAGGTCAGGCCAGCAAACAAACACAAACCAAGCACTTGACAAACGCAAACCAGATGCCCGAGCCCCTGGCCACAGATTCAATGCATGCGGTCTGGGCAAGAGTTGAGCTCCAGTGCTTTCTGAAGCTGCCCACATCCTCCATGGGTGCAGCTGGGTTTGGGGGCCACTTGCAAAAAGCTGAGGACACCCGGAAGCCTCTCCTTCTGAGAAACCCCCACTAAACCACAGGGCCGCTGGCTGGTGGAGTCAGGCCCACACCCTGGGTTCCTGCAGACCCACTTGGCGGTTTCCTTGGCGATGTTTAGCAAGTTATTCGACTTCTTTCAACCTCAATCTCTCCCATCTGTAAAAAGGGAATTAGTAAAAGTGGTACAGCCTCGGGAGCTCACTTGGAAATCTACAGATGTGTTAAAATGTACAAGGGGTTAAGGTCGGTGCTCTGGGTCTCGGTCCCTGCCGCATGGACATTGGCAACAGATCTGAAGGGGCTTACCTGAGGGCGTTCAGCAGTCCCTCTACGCTGTCTGGGGCCTGTTCCTTCAGGACCTTTATGCAGCCTTTCATCTGGGAGGAGAAAGCACAGTCTCGTGAACATCCGGGCACTGCTGTCCACATCATTTTCTCTTTGCCCTAACACCTGTCTAACAATATCACAGCATTTCTGCCCACAGAAATGAAACTGGGTTCTCCTCCTCCGGGCTGAGCATCTGTTCCTCTGGGCTCTGTAACCACTACTGATTTCCATACTACACCACTATTGTATGTGTTCATTTTGGGGACAAGCACTGGAAACCCTGATTTCCTTGTCACTTACTTGAAGTCAAGAGCAGGGATACAAAGCCCTCTACTCAGTTAAGATTCACCGAATGTTTTACAAACCTGATAACTCTATGCCCCTTTCTGTCCACCATGCTTTCCTTCCTCCAGATGTCTGGGAAACTCTTGCCACTCTTGTTCAGGCCTTGGTGGAAGTTTACCTGCTCCAGAAGATCTCTTCTGACCCCCAGGTAGAAAGTGACCGTCTCCTCTCTGAGGTCCCAGGGCCACTGTGGTATTTATCAGACCCCTTGCAGAGCTCACTGCCCAGAGTAAGTCATCTTCTCTGCTAGCCCAGATCTAGGAAGAGGTGCAGATCTAGGCCTTAATCATTTTTCACAAGAATGGAGAAGGGCGACAGCCAGGACCTTGCCTTACAGAGGCTGAATGCCCGGATTTCATCTGTTAGCTTGGATAGTATTTGTATGAACTTAGACAAGCTTTCTGCGCCCTTGGAACAAAAGTTGCTTATAATATGAGCAGTCCATGAACATTAATTCACATTATCTCATGTATATGCTGTCCACAACCACTCACTTTAAACTCAGATGTTCATACACAGTATGTATCAGATTTGCTTGGGCCGATGGCCTGTTTTATAATGGTTGCTGATAAATTTCTTCTGTAGCTGTATTTCTGAAATGTCAAAAGTTTGACCCTAAAGACTTGATACAATCTGTCAGTTGTGGAGGCAGTTAGGGCATTTGGTAGGCACACACAGGCTCATTGAGAAAGGACGTCGCAGGTGGTCAGGCCTGTCTGCCGTGGTCCTGGACTGGGGAGGCTGTGAGCATGCAGCCCTCGCCGCTCCAGGCTTGGGGTGACATCAGAGAGGCAGGGATGCGGCCCCCTCCTGTTAGTGCTTACAGACTGGTAACGGAGACACAGATAACTCATTATCTAGCACACTAAGTGTGGCTGTAAAGGCTCCCAAGGGGTAGTGAGACAGATGTGGGAAGAGACTGAATTTCTACTTCAATTTCAGGCTGCTTAAAGCTGGGGGTGTGAATTTAAGATGCTGCAGGAGACTCGGCGGGGCCAGGCCCAGCTTGAAGCACATTAGGAAATCGGGGGCTTCTTCTTGTGGAAAACAGCCTTGGCAGGTGTTAAACATTCCAGCAATGGGGCTGATACGAGAAGGGGCCAGGAAGAAGTAGGACCGAAGAGGGGGACCTGTGAGACCCCCTGTGGGCGTGCGGCCCGGAGAACAGAGGGTGGGGTAAGGCTCGGTCTGCCTGATAACACAGGGAGGCCACGAAGAGGGAGGACAAGCTCCCGAGACCCCAGGGACTCAGCTCTAGACTTCTCAGTCAGTGTGGGAGGACAGGGAAATACCTGAGGCCAGAACAGGTTTGTTGGCGGAAGAAAACATTTGGTTTGGGGCTGACCATGTTTCAGGTGGTCCACTGGAAGTAAGGTCTGAAATTATGGGTGAAGCCCAAGCAGGGACAAGGGTTCCACGTGGCTCATTCCGTAAAATTCTAAGCAGCTTATTTGAAAACAGAAACTCAGCTAAACCACCCACTGTTCCTAGCACTCGAGATCATTATTTGTTCTTTAAACGGCTGACCTCCTGTGCATGATTTTTCTCTCTGGGGAGTCCCACGACTGCAGTACTATTCCTCCCTTCTGTCCATTTAGAAAAATCCTACATCTTCTTCTAGGACTTCCTTCAGTTTTGCACTGTCTCTGCCCCTAAGTAGGACATTTCTCCCTCACCTGGGTTTGCAGAGCCCTCTGCACATCTCTTCTGCAAACCAGGGCCTCGTCTTTGTGCATGAGAGCACGGCACCTCTTGCAGGGTCTCACAAATAAACGTTTATTTCTTCACAGCCGATGCCCCCATCCTAAGGACTTATAAACCCAGTGCCCGTAACTGTGGTTCACAAGCAGACTGCACCTGGAGGATGACCCTCCATGTCATCAAAGAAAATGACCCATCTCAAATATGCGCCGCCCAGGCGACCCTGACACTGTCTTAGAGCCACATGCAAAGCTCAACAGGACAAGCCTTTCTTATTCACCTCCGTGAACAAACAGGCTTCATCTAGACGCCGGTGAAAACTAGCACTGTGCACTGTTTACCATTGTGATACAAAGACTGTAAGCAACATATAAAGCCAAGCTTTTCAAAATGAGGGCTGCAAGGCAGAATTGCACCCGGTGATCTTTCAACTGCTGAAGAATGAATAAACAGTGATGGGAAGTGAGAATATCTGGAGTATCTATGCTCAGGCTATGGCATGAAAAATGTTAAAGCCTCACAAAGAACAAAGTCAAGAGATTTACCAGTGTGAAGAGATGTCCATAATATACTGCTGTGCAAATGAGATGAAATGCTTTTTAACATAGCATGTACAGCAGAGACCTAATCTGTGAAACACACATACACACACACACACACACACACAGAGGGAGCTCATGCGACAGATACATGGTCATCCATCCAGGCTGAAATTATTACAGATACATTTAATGTTCTACAATCTGACCTCCTACATTTCAAATTATAGTAAAAATCATGAAGATTTTTATGAAGAATCCTGCTCAGGAGCTCAGCATTTTTTCTTAGCATTTTATGCTGAGAACCCAGAACCTCAAGGCATGTAATCCAAATTACATTTTTCACTGATGAACTTTCTTGCACTTGTCAGACTCCTGGCTTCTCTGGGCATGCAGACTTGCTCTTGACAGTAACTGTACATCAGATACACTATTCTGTGCAGATATGTGAACACAGACAGAGTGAGCCACCCAGGCTTAGCCATGTTGGAATAAGTTAGGATCATGAGGTTCTCTTCTACCCTTACAAGACTTTAAAATAATGCATGACGTACACTATTAGGTTGGTGCTGCAGGCAAATGCTAAAAGGAGATGTGTTTTTATCCCACAGTCAGCAGGATAGAGCCTGCACACAAATCATGGGTTGCCCAGTGGTTTTCATCTATCCATCCATCCATCCACCCATCTACTTTTTCATCCATCCATCCATTTACCCATCCATCCAGCTATCTACTCTTCCATTTATCCATCCACCCATCCATCCATTTGTCCACCCATCCATCATCCATCTACCTGTCCATCCATCCATCCATCCATCCATCCCTCCACCCATCTATCCATCCATCCACCCATCCAGTAAAACTCTATAGAACATCTATTGGGTACAAGGCATTAATTGCCAGATGTTGTAATAGGTGAGGGTGGAGACAGCAGGTGTATAAATCATGTCCTTGTCTAAAAAAATTGACTTTGTGGTAAGGATAGGAAATACAAAAGTGCTCTGAGGACCAGAGAAAAAGAAAGTCTGTACCAGTGCAGGGCACATGAAATGCGGTGACATCTGTAAAGTGGCTGAAAGAAATCCACTCATCATAGAGTAGGAGAAAGGGCCCTTTGGTGCAGGAAAAGGATCACACATATTTAAATATAAAGTCATGAAATCATACAGGGCAAAGGTATGTAGTTAACAGGAGAGAAAACTGAAAGGCAAAGTAATGTTGGAGCATGGGGTGTTATAAGCATCCCATATCCCCCAACTTATTAGGACAGATGTGAGACTGAAATCAGCAGGGAGCACTGGGTCAGTGGAGGGACAGGGAGCTGCTAAGGGACTGGTCATCTGCTCAGCTTCACTAGGCAGAGGGATGCACATTCTTGCTATGCTGTATTTGCTGTGTGTTTGAGGCTGTACTTCTGATCTAAAACAGAGAGGGCGCTGTATCTCAGAAAGGTCACTCTCAGTGGGTATGGAGGCCAGAGCAAGGGGACAAGGTCTGTGCACAGCTGTTCTTACATCGATCTTGGACGTCTTGCAGAAGGCTCCCACGGGGTGCACGTGGTCGTAGAGGATGATGACCCCCACCATCACCCTCATGCAGAACATGAGTGTCTCTTCACTCGTGAACCTGCTCCTGTACTCCCTGGAAGAGAGAAGACAGCGGCCACGGTGCCTCTTTAGCAGAGCACTGCACTGGGGTTCTGCTCTGCGAGGGGCTGCTCCCTGCATCTTCTCTGGAGAGCAATCCCGGGCCTGCCGCAGCTGGGTTAATGCGCTCCTGAAGAGACCAGGACCGTGAGGGTAATTCCCCTCAAATCTATCCAACCGGCAGTTCAGTGTGAAAATAAGGTAAATAAGAGGGCAGCAAATTCTCGCTTCTGCCCTTCAGCAGCCGGCTCACCAGGCACAGCATCCCGCACATCAATCTTGAATATTTTATAGCAGGTCCCTCTGGCTGCCCGAGATTATAGAGAATAATGGCTTCATTACAGAGACAAAGGATTGGGCTCGTTTCTACAGAGCAGCTATCCGGTCTGCCGCTGGAGTAACTTCCTTTGTTAAGACCCAGGGTGCAGGCTGGATTGGCTTGGCGAAGAAATCATACACCATTCCCTGAGCTGAGAGCATCTGTGGAGCCTGAATTTTGTCCACTTATCTTGATGGGGTCCCTGATGATTCAGATAATTTCGGCCAATTCTAGAGATTTCCTTAGTGTCTATTTCATGATGAATTAGCCCATAATGAAGGTAAGTGCGATTTCTGACTTCGAATAAATCTTAATTTTGGTACAGGTAAAATATTTTAAAGGAATGCCCTCTTACATACGAACAGAACATGTTTTGTAAGGTGCTTCTGATACTTCTGGCTTTCCTGAATATTCTGAAAAGTAGAAGATGTTTGGGAAACTCTATTAGACGAGGAAACCAAGGAAGGACCAGGGAGGTCACAGCATCTACTCATTGGCACAGGAGAGGGTACCGATGTATCCACACCCCGATTTTGAGTGGAGACTTCCCCATAACTGTGCTGCTTTGCCATCAATAACTCAACCAATTTTTAACTCTAGCAACTAGCAACTAGTTTAGGTACAAAGAAACGAGGCAGAGAGAGAGACAGAAAGAGAGAGAGAGAGCCATTATTCATTATTCTGCAACAGTCACACACACCTCTTCTACTCTCCTACTCTGATTCCCAATCTCTTAGGTCTTCTCTGTAATATGTCTGTAATAATAAGTCATCTGACTTCTCTATTTGGCCTTTACATATCTTCATATGTACATGTGTTTGTGTGTGTGTGTGCGTGTGTTTGCATTTTTAGGACTAGGGATTGAACCTAGGTCCTTCACACTGAGCTACATCCCTAGCCTTTTTTTCTTTCTTTTGGTACCAGGGATCAAACTTGGGCCCTTGTGCTTGCGAGGCAAGTGGCAGAACCACTGAGCTAAAAAATCCCTTCTTTATTTGTTTTTTGAGACAAGATTTCATTAAGTTGCCCAGGCTGAGCTTGAACTTAGGATTCTGCTGCCTCAGTCTCCTACAGTGCTAAGACTGTGGGCATGTGCCAACTCATGTGGTGGTCCTTACACGTCTTCTAGCGGCATCTTTGATGTTGCTTCTGCCATCTAACAAGCTATGCAACCTTCAGGAGGTCAGTCAGTCAGTTTGAGTCTCAGCTTCTTGGACTACAGAAAGACAGATAATGACACTGCTAATCAGAGTTCCTTCTGAACTTGAAGCAGATGATATACTTGGAAACTTTCTATCCTGACCCTCTGGTACAAGACTTCTCATTTTTAACAGGCCCCAGATGGGTGAACCGCCAACCGTGAACATCCCTTGGGATCACTTACGGAGTCTCCAGCATGACTTTGCAGACGCTGGTCATCGTACTGAGGCAGTCCGTGGTGTTTTCTATCGGCAGGGTTTTGTTCTACATTGGAGGTACAAATGCTTGTTAGTCGCACAAGCAGCTTTTATGCACAAATAAGAAAAAAGGACCTTGCTGCTCTCTACGTACTTCGGAGACAAAGTGCATGGTGGCGTTGCTCAGGGTTTTCAGCATTGGCGTGGCTTCTGCGTAGAAGAGGGACATTCGATTGGCCATCTCATTATTCACTTCATTCTCAATGTCTAGCTGAGGAAAAGAGGAAGAGAAGATGCAATTAGAAACATAAAGGGCTGTCTTCTCCCTGGGCCCTGTCTGACCCAGGAAGAAAAAAATAAAATCCACGGGGGACAGGGGGCCCCAGGACTCACATGCATGTTGTTGATACGATTGCGACTTATTGTTCTTCGGTAGTAGCTGAAGTCATTCTGAATGGCTGGGTTCCTCATCTGAAGTTTCAGAAGAGGTGAGAGAGAAGGTCATTTCCTGGCAGCAGGCCGGAGAAGGCACATTAGGAGACCAGGTGCTCAATTTTGTAAAAATGCAGGACTTGTGTTTCCCCCAGAATAAGACCTGACTAGAGATCAAAAGTGCCAGCCCCAATCAGCCTAGCCTTGCCTCACCTGTCATTAGAGTGGCCACCAACTGAGAGAACAGTGAGGTACAACCTGCTGCGTGCCACTGGCCACCACCAAGGTGATGACCAGCTATTAATTACATCCGAAGTTTATTTCCCGGTTAGGTCTTATTTCCGGGTAAACATGATCTCTGTTACACACGAATCAAAGTACCTTCTAGTTAAAAATAAAGACCCATAACTTTATCATTCTAAATCATACCTTATACTTACAGGGGCGTAGATATCAGGGAGTCTGTTTGAACCCAGTTTTTCTCTGACTTCACTTGGCAAATTTTGAATTTCCAAATAAAATTATCATCTTAAACTACTCTAATCACATGAAATGCAAATCTCCCGTGCTGAATATAGCTGTGGGGGAGGAGCTGCCCCTGTCGCTGCTCCCCACCCGCGGCCCCAGCTCGGGACAGGGCTGGACACCTTCCCAGTGCGCTGGGTCTGACCTTCAGCTCATCAAATCGAAGTGTAAAATGCAAGATTTCTGCAAACTCCTTGGCCAGGGCCTGCTCGCGCTCCAGGTGCTGTGTCGGTGTGTAGGGGGGACACGTCAGGGACTCCAGCAGGCTCTGCAGGGCCGTCTCTGAAAGCCAAAGGGTGAACGTTTGTTTCTCGGGTGGCCCGCAGACACCATCCTGAGCCCGGCTGATAATCTCAGAGACTGTTCCCAGCCGCTGCCCCCGGCTGTGTCAGATGCTGCGTGAATGGACAAGGGGTCTCCTGGGCATGATCAGCACCCACTACACTCAGCACCGCTGGTCTGGATTCCTGACAACCTGCGGAGACCACAAGTGCATCTGGCCCCGCTGAGAGCCACTGCTGGAGTAGCAGGAGGCCCATGCTCTGAACACATGGATTTAGAGCCCAGGCTCCACGCAGAGTGAATTCTGCTCTCCAGCTTTTCTCTTCCTCTCAGTCTGACCTAAACCAGGAATGCTTTTCTCCAAACCTGCCACCGTCGCCATTCTGATGACAGTCTCACTGCTCCCTTTGCTTGTCTCTAAACAATGTAGTTTTTATTACCCTAGACTTATTACAGCAAGAGCCATTTACCAGGGGGTCCCCAACCCCCGACCATGGCCTGCTAGGAACCAGGCCTCACAGTACGACGTGAGTGGCAGGAAGCAAGCACAGCTTCCTCTGTCTTTCTAGCCACTCCCCATTGCTCCATCACCAGCTATGCTCGGTCTCCTGTCAGATCAGCGGGCCTTAGATGCTCCTAGAAGCCTAAATCCTACTGAGACCATGCATTTGGAGATCCAGGGTGTGAGTGCCTCCGAATCACCCTGGAACCACCCTCTTATCCAGCCTTTCCCATGCCCAGCCGGGGAAAACTGCTTTTCCTGAAGCTGGTCCCTGGGGCCAAAAAGGTTGGGCCCTTTGGAGCCAATCCTCCTCAGCAGGGGTTGGCAGACCTCAGCCTCAGCCCAAATCTGGTCCACTGTTGTGTTTGTAAATAAAATGTTATTAAAAGACAAGCTCATTCCTTCCAGTGTTGACTATAGTAATTTGGTGATATACTGGCAGAGTTTGAGAGGTTGGAAAAAAGCGGACAGGCCCCAGACTCAAATATCAACTATCCAGTCAACAGGCAGGACTGCTGGTGCTGTCTCCACACAGCCCTTACACGCCTCTCATGCATGTGTGCCATGCCCCTGTTGGACAGTCACACACAGGAACACACTGCTCTGTGAGCTAAAATTAGGATCCTCCGGATTTCGTATTAAGGGGTCTAGCAGCAAGCTGAGGAAACAGAGTGAAACTCCTCTCTCTTCTACCTATCTAAGGAACTCTTTCCTTATGAAACTGGTTTGATCTGGTTAGCGATCAAAGCTCCCAGGGCTTTCAACACCACGGCGCTGATCGCCCTGGAGTATTTCGATTTCGTTTTTCCTCTTGGAACCCAGCACCCTTACGGTGGAAGCAGAGAAGATGACCACTGACTTTTTCGTTCTGGGCACACTGTGCCAGCCAAAGAAATCAGGCTTGGCTTTTCTGCTGGGGATGGGGGTCAGGCCACACTTCGGGGCACACAGAGCCATGAAGTGCCTGTACCCTTGCTTCTGCTTGGCCTCCCTGCACCTACACAATTTCGGCTTTGAGTTTTTTATTTCATGTTCACAGCTCAAGGAAAGAACGCTAAGCTTATTTTCTTGTATCATATTATATTACTTTTGTCGTAAGACTCCAGCCAGCCGAGTCCTTTTTGGGCTCGTAGGTAACTTGTCTCTTCCAACTTCTATTTTCCAGGAAACTACCATATTTCCCCAAAAATAAGACCTTATATTAACTTTTGTTCCAAAAAGATGCAATAGGGTTTATTTTCAGGTGACATCTTTTTTTTTATGTACCTCAGTCTAGATTTATTATATACAACAGTCTACACTTATTCATTTATTCATGTACAAAAATCTACATTTATTCAAATATAGTCATGTCATCTTCTGGAGCATCGTAATAACTCAATACATCCATCATATGTTGCAACAGACATAATAAATGTGTCCATCTGGCTGACCAAGGCTTATTTTAGAGGCAGGGCTTATGAGTATCCTGAGAAACCATGCTAGGGCTTATTTTCTGGCCTAGGTCTTATTTTGGGGGAAATGGAGTAGGAAGACTTGGATGCCACTGAGCACAAGACAAAGGGGCACCCACTGTCCGTGTGCCGGTGGAAACACTCACAATGTGCCAGGAACTTCACAGCTCCAATGTGAGCGACTCCAAGAAATGAGAAAGGGGTATTGTTTACAAATGGCCGCCCCGGATACCAGGAGGTCACTGGGCGTTTCCCAACATGCTCAGCGGCTCCTGCTGCCTCCTCACGTGACAACACAGAGCCTCTCGGGTAAGACAGACCAGGACCCTGGAAACCAGACCCACCGAGCCGGATGGAGAACTCGTAGAACCTCTTCAGCCTCACAACCAGGGGACACACCGCATTCCAAGCCTTTTCTTGAAGCTGAATGTCATTGGGGTTTTGGATCGCCTGCAAAGATATGGTAGAACTGCGCATTTAAAAATAATAATATGCACAGCATCAACACGTCCTAGGATGGAGAAGCGACTTTAGCTAACAAAGACAATCTGCTGTTCTGTGAATGTGCACCTCTTGGGCCGAGGATGACTCCCCGGCCTGTCCCCTCCAGGATGCTCATTTCAAAGGAAATCTGAGCACTGGTACATGAGCCAATGGCTCCGCATGTAGATCTTGAGTTATCTTGTTTCTGTTCTCTTGAACCACAAAAAGCACATTTGCATTGGAAGAAATGTGGTCCCTGCCATTGCCATTTGGTTCTAGAGTAGAGTTGGTGCTGATTAAAAAGGTCAAATTCTGTAGACACATTTTGTCTGCGATATGCATTATATCCCACCAACCTGTACTATAACCTGTCGTGCCTAAATTCAGTGGTGTCCCCTAAGTAGAAAAACTGTGCCTGGTAGCCTTGGCTGTGAATGGGCAGGCTGAGGTTATCAGCACGATGGGGGTGGAGTCATTCACTGAGGGATGGTGGTGGCGACGGCAGTGTGTGTCTGTGCACTCATGTTTTTATATGTTCCCAATACTAATGCCTTCTGTAGTAGTTGTGCGATGGCACTGCCTACAGTCCCAGCTACACAGGAGGCTGAGGCGGGAGGATTACTTAAGCCCAGAAGTTCAAGGTAGCCTGGGCAACATAGTAAGATGCCCTCTCAAACAAAGCAAAAAGAAAACCATACACACTAAAACCCAAATCAAGAAAACCTAATCCTTTTAAGTAAAATTTTCTTGCCTTAAAGGCATGGTGAAGTCTGAAGAGTCAAACTGATGATTTCCATATTTGCTTTGGCTATTTTGTTCTTCATGAGACATTTAAGATGACACACTGGTCTCCTACTTAAAGCAAGCGGTTTGTGGCCATCACATGTGACCCTCCTAAATTATCACACAATGCTACAAAGTGTGTGTCATTCCAGACCTTATGATTCATGGTGCAACTGTTCATAGCCTGTGTGTGTGTCCCTTACATGAAATAATCTCCTGATGCTGCTGTTAACATGAGCCCTGCAATACCAAATGTAGGTTTGAGAGAGAACTTTCTAGCATTTTATAGCATTGTGTGCTCAGGAGAATGTGCTAAAATCAAAAGGGCCATTTATGCACTTAGAACACATCACACCCCTTGTTTTTCTTAGTCCTCTGGGAAATGCTCAAGCTATTACTTAGGCTGTGTGAGTGACGTGTGTGTGTGTGGGTCTGCACATGTGACTATGCATGTGTCTGTGTGTGTGTGACTATATGTAGTTGTCTGTGTGTCTGTGTGTAGGTGTGTGTGCGCGTGTCTGTGCACATGTGTATCTGTGTGTGTGCGTGTCTGTGCGCTTGCCTGTGCATGTGTGTATCTGCGTGTGCGCGTGTGTCTGTGCAGTCCTCCCAGCCCCTCCTGCTGCAACTCAGCATGGTCGCTGCATACGCACGTCTCGGATCTCCGGCCCAGCGCCCTTGTAGGCCTGCAGGTCGGTGAGGATGCTCTCGGAGTCCTGTAGCACGGCGCTGATCTGGTTCCAAATCTCCCTCTCCCCCTCGGTGGGCTGGGCATCTGCGCAGCAGGGAACCAAGACACAGAGGTGGGCTAGCGTTACAAGCAGTGTAAGCATGGTGACCAGTTCACTGCTGACAGCTCCGTCTCACTCCTGCAGGCTGGGTGCCCACTACTGACTACAACAGGCTGCTAGGAAGGGGAAGTAGCCCAGCTTCCCCAGGGCTGAGCCGAGAAAACCCCCAACCTCGCGTGCACCTTACGTCCAGCATGTTGGGACCACCATGCTCACGCATTTATTGATGTAAAATACATTTTCTGCACACCTGCTCTGTACACCAGGTGACAAAAGGAATAAACACTCTTTTGGGGTCATTTTTCCCTTCTTGCCTATTATTCTTAAAACTCAAAGCCTATTTTCAATTGTGGTAAAACACACATAAAGTAAAATTTATCATCTTAAACTTTTTCACGTGTGGAGCTCAGTGGCATTTCCCTACTGCCACACAAGCCTGACTGCCACTCAGCTCCACAGTTTTGTGGAAAGCTCAAACACTGTCTTGGGTCTGCTTTGAATAGAAGAAACTTCTGTTTGAATACAAGGATCTAAAAATCTGTGGGTCTGAACAGAGATGGAAAAACCAGTGCCTTTCATATTTTCACGGACAAATAAGCTTCGGTCTTGCTCACGACTGTTAGCCCAGACACAAGCGCCACGTTCAAGCTCACACAAACACAGATGATACTGACAGCCGCAGAGCAGCCCCTGGGCTCCTGGGTGGCTTCTCCCCGGGTCGCAGCCCTGGGACCCGTACGGCTTCTCTGCCCCAGGAGCATCTCGTGGGGCAGTGAGCATAGGCTGACAGGGGGCAGTGGTGGTTTGATTTCCCTCACACTTGCTATGAACCAGGTCGGCTGCCAGACTGGAGAGAAAATTAGTGTCTCCTCGTGAATCGAAGGGGAGCGGCAACAGGATGAGTTCATCCATGCAGCTCCCCTCCAAGGGTTCCGATCTAGCACCCCTGACACTGTCAAAGCACCTTGCGCTTGGCAGGACAAGGACGGAGCAATGTGCGGGCCAACACTGATGGATCCGCCCCTGCTCACCGTTCTCCGTGCTGTACCAAAGCTGGATCCTACAAAGGAGGGTGTGCTACAGTTGCTGGGGTCACTCTGGGGTGTAAATGGAGGCCTTGAGATGGGCTATGCAGCCCTGGAGGCTGTCGGTGGGAGCATTCTCCCTGTTCCTGTCACCATTTGAGCCTTGGTGTCACAGAGCTCATTTTTAATTAGTGCATGCTTGCAGTACGTAATGTTTGTACTCCTTGTGTGGAGCTGGTCCACATTCACGACCCATCTTCATTCCTTTTTCCAGCCCTTTCCTTCCCCTCCCTCTCTCCATCTTTGATCCCCTTCCTCATCTCCCTATTATTATTTATTATCTCCTGTTTTTGTCATTTATTTTGCTCTTTAATTTATTTATACTTTGGGTTTTCACATAAAAGAAGCCATGTGATATTTAAGCACGTGTGTCTGATTTAGTTCACCTCATCTCATGGTTCTCAAGGTGGATCCATTTTCCTACAATTGTGGTATTTATCCTTCTTTATGGCAGAGTAGTACTCCATTGTGCGTAAATACCACATTTTCTTTATCCACTCATCTGTTGATGGACAAATAGGTCACTTCCAGTATTTGGTTGTTATGAGTTGTGCTGCTGTAAACACGGGTGTGCATGGATCACTGTAATAGAGTGTCTTCAACTTCTGTGAAGAGCCTTAGAAGGGGATCAGCTGAGTCAAACGCAATCTCTAATTTGAGATTTGTGAGGAATCCACACACCGATCTCCACAGTGGTTGTACCAGTTTACACTTGTGCCCACGCTGCAGGACGGCTCCTTTTCCTCACCAGCACTCCTTCTTATTTGATTTCTTGATGACGACCACAGTTTCTTAGGCTTGTTTCTCCACCAGGTCCTGCCTAAGACCTAAGATATTGGTTGCACTTCCTGGAAAATGAAGGGAGATGCACCTCAGCGCATAGCAATTCTCTTTTAATACAAAATGCATAGCTTTGTATCCAGATGCTCTGCAAACTCCTAGTGGTGAGATGAGTTTATGAGGGAATAAGGAGGTAGTCAAGTTCAAGCATGGCAGGGTTCAGAGAAGGAAAATATGGGTGCAGTTGGGAAGGAGTGGAAAAACCAGGTGCAGAGGACTCGTCTTCCTCGGGGTGAGGGAAGGAAGGGCACTCACAAAGAGGGTGGTGCATGCCTGCCATCTCAGAACTGTGTGCGGAGGCTGAGGCAGGAGGATTACTACGCATGCAAAGCCAGCCTAGGCTGCAGAGTGAGTTGCAAGGCTGGCTGGCCTCTACTACGTGGCGAGACCTTGTCTAAAAAAGGAAGAAAAGCAAAATAGAGTCTGGGACCAAGATCCTAAGAACTCAGACAGTTGCATACAATTATAAAATACTCTGTGAAAGAGGGTGGCACCTGGAGGCTGGGAAGGAATGCTTCTAAGCAAGGCTGTCACTCGGCTCCCTCTCAGCAAGTCACCACTTGAAAGGTTTTAGATGAAACAGAACAAAACTAAGTGGGCTGAAGGAGTAGTGCTGGACGAGCCCAAATATATCCCATTGATGGTTACACTTAAATACAACAAGAGAAATATTTCACAGCAGTTTTTTCAAGTAAAAGACTTTCTTACGCATTTTAACAATAAATTTTTCAAGCCAGGAGACGTGGTGCACATCTGTAATCTCAGCACTGGGGTAGGCTGGGGCAGGAATATCCCAAGCTCAAACATCACCTGGGCAACTTAGTAACTTAGCGAGACCCTGACTCAAAAAGATAAATGAAAAAGGGTAAAGAATGCTGCTCAGTGGGAAGGCCCTGGGTTCGATCCCTAGTACTGGAAAAATAAAAACAACAAGATAAGGAAAGAAATTTTTCAGTAGGGTGGCTTCAAAGTGGCTGAGCTGGAGACTGGTGTGACTCCTCTCCGCACTGCAGGGAGTGACATTTTCTGACGCAGGCTGACAGGGGCACTTCGGATGGGACCACAGAGCCAGAGGAGCGACCTGGAATGAGTCTCTTCTGCCCCAGAGGTGGAAGTTTTGGAGGCGGTGAGTGCGTCTTCCTTCAGCCAGCCCAGTCCAACCTGCTCACAGAGGTCCTCCTTGGCAGGAGGCCTGGCATCCCATTAGAGACGCGCCTCCTGTGGTCCCAGGCAGGTGGGGAGAAACCCAATCCACTCCCTTCTCCCGCCCAGGCCTGCACTCTCCCGTCACGTGTTAGTCTTATCGGACGCCTGATTTCTTCCCCTTCCCCTCGTGGGACTGAGTCACCCCCTCTCGCAGCCCATGAGAAGGGTTCAGTGCGGGCAGCACGGCCGGATCGCGAAAAGCCGAGGGGGCTCAAGTCACAAAAGCTGGCAGCTCCCCCGGCCGGCAGGGACCGGGGAGAAGCTCAAGTGTGCGGTCTTGCCAGGACAAGGACTGTGCAGCCCTTGGTGAGGCTGACCCCTGGCCCAGAAGTTCGTGTCACTTTCGTCCCCAGCTAGAGGACGGGGCAGTCGGAACTGACTCTCAGTAATCAGCATTCAGACGCAGGACTTGGGCCATCTTTGCTTCATTTCATATCATAATCCCAGAGTCGAGCACGGTGCGGGATGTGAGAAAAATCTGCAGGATAAAGAACGAACCGGACGATGTCAGCGCTCTCCGCACACTGCGCTTTACGGCTGTTCCCCGCCTGTCTGAATGGTAGGTCTTCGGGGACAGGGTCTGGACTCTTGTCCTCGGGACCCACCTGATGTCCACCAAATGGACACTGAGTCAAGGAGCAGCAGCCAGGTGGCACAGAGCGAAGGATTTGGGGAGCAGTAAATCAAGGTGTTGTCGCTTCAGCCCTGTCTCCTCTCTTCCTCCCAGTTGGCTTTTTTTTTTGTGCCAGGGATCGAACTCGGGCCCTTGTGAGACAGGCGGCGGGAACCACTGAGCCAAGTCCCTGGCCCCCCTCCCGGTGGCTTTTACACCGAGACATCTCCACTTCACACCTGCGCTGCCATTTGTGTTTAACCGTGCAGTCCTCATCGGTGGACGCCAAGTCTCCTGTGTGTGGCCATCTGTGAAAAAATGGCTCTTAGGTTTTACTCTTCCAGCCCTAAAACCACTACCATTTTGCCTGCTGAAAAAAAGTCTCCGCGAGAGGTTTTTTGGAGTCTGCACTTTGTACTTCTTCCTATTCAGACTCACCTTTTACAAACGCACTGTTTCCCCATGTGAAGGACTGCCATGTTAAAGGACTCTGAGGGGTTAGTGGTTGAAAAGCTTACTATATTTAGCCTATGAGCAGGCCCTGAAAGCATTTGCTGAGTGAACTATGGGCTTTACTTTTCTATTTTCAACACCAAGATTGACCCTTCATCAAAGAAAGGTATTCACACATAATTCACTCACGCTGCCACACACAACCCCCCACTCTTGTGCTAGAAACCGGTCTTTATTTCCAGAGGCAGCTGGTGGACTCTTCGTGATGTTTCCTGTAAGAACCACATCCCAACCTTCCAATGGCTGTCAATTATTTCGTGGAAATTGAGGAGAACAGTTACACGCAGCTGCTGTTTTCTCCTGTCTCACAATGGAGCTGTTAAAGCCCCTGTGATTTACACAGGCAATTTCAGAAACCAATACTTCCAGGAGCTCTGGAACAAGTGTATCCTGGCCATTCCCAGAGCGATGATTTAAGGCCTGTTCGGGACCTGCTGTTGTCAGAAGTGTGAATGAACGTGCACGGTGCACACGGCAACCTTGCACACACACACACACACACACACACACACACGTGCAGCCAAGATCTCACCAAATCCAGGGTTTTTAACAGAAAAAACACCTTCTTATCAATTAAGAGAAATAGTATTCATGTCGTTGGCAGTGGAAATGTTGGTCCTCCTTTGGGCTTAATTTGCTGTCATCATTTTGGGGTCACTGTAGAGGGCTCTGGGGTCCACTCCACTGTGACAGAGGAGGGAACGGCGGCTGTGGGTTGGGTCCCTCA